ACGGGGGAAAGGGGGTTGCATGGAGGAAGGGGGTTGCATGGGGGGTAGGTTGCATTGGGGTGGGACTGGGGATACGTGTAGGGTACAGACAAGCTGGCTCTGGTTTTGGAGAAAAGACATTAAAACATCCCCCCCTCCGCCCACCTCCAGTTTGCTAGAGATGGTTGCAGCAAAGCTGCACCCTGGGTTTGCACCCCAGGAGAAAATTTCAGGGGGTGAAGAAAGAGAAGAGGGGGATAAGGGAAGCACCAATTTGGTCCAAGCGGTCCCGGAGCAGCTCTGGCTGGAGAAAGCCTCCAGCCCCTTGCTCCTGCCCAGCCTGGGAGCCTCCGGGACCCTGGGCACCAGCCCAGCGCAGGAGGAAGAGCTCTCGCTACAGCCTCCCTGCGACGGGAGTGACTAACCCTGTCCTTCTGCCTGCCGTCCCTCCGCTGACATGGAACGGGCCTTTTGCTTGCATGCCTCCGTCCTGCCGCTTTGTCTCGGTCATGGGAGAAAGCCAGTCCTTGAAGGGTTGCATGCCTCCGGCCGGCTGTCGTGGGCGATGGGACCTCCAAATCCTGCCAGGAGAGCGGGTCCCCAACGGCCCCGCGGAGGTCTGCAGGATGCCACGTTGGCGTGGGGGCGTCCCCTCGCAGGGCTGGGCCGTACAAACACAAGAGAGGACGTTATCAGCTGTGCGTTCCCCCATATTCCCTCTATTTGCACCCCGGGTTATGAATTCACCAATAATCTCAGCCATAATCCAAGGATGGGCAAAATTTCTCTGTCTCGCCGCCGCGGGCTGTGTCACTCGTGGCAGCCCAGCGTGCCCAGCCAAATTTCTCGCCAGTTGCTGAAGTAATGACCCTTTTTTAAGCCGAGGATGTAAGCGGCGCGGGCCGCCCGTTGCTCGCAAGACAACTACTCCATGTATCTGTTTTCTTTCAGAATGAAAAAGGCAAACGTTGACCTCACTATGAAAGAGTTTCAAGGTATCTTTAGAAATAAAAGGGAAGAAAAAAAAAAAGAAAAACCCTCAGATTTTAAATGCTTGCTGCACCCAATGCTGTCTAAAAGTGCAGTTTGGGGCAGTTTTGAGCCTGTTGCACAAGTCTTTGCTCTTAGGTAGCCAGGATGGCCCTTCCTTTCAACAGAAGGCTCGTTCCCAAAAGGATTTTAGGATACAAATTGCTTCCCTCTCTGAGGCTACATAATTCCCAGTCTGGCAAAGGGTCCCTGGTGCAACTGCGCAGGCTCTTTGCTTCGGGCTATGTGCGTGTTTCCTTCCATATGTAATCCCAGCGGGCCCTTCGCTTCCTGCTCTCTCTGCTTTAACCCTGAAGCTGCCCCGCTGCAGCCCTCTCCCGTCTCCGCGCGCAAGGAGCAGCCTCCGAGGCTGGCCAGGAGCAGGGTGGCAGGAGAGGACCGAGGAACGCAACTCCACCGTAGCCTTGGGCATGATGCAGCCTGTCAGGGAAAAGCTCGCTTTGGGTGTGGAGGTGAAATTTAAGCCCTAGGGATCTGCCATCAGGAAGGTTTGCTGCGAGCAGCGTGAAGGCAGGAGGGAGGGAAGGTCTGGGGACAGGTTATAGGCTCGGAGGCAGGCGGGATGAGCTCCGA